TATATATATTTATGTTATATATATATATACATATTATATATATATATGATATTATAATTAATATATATTATATGTGTGTGTATATATATAGTGTATGTATATATATATATTATGTGTATGTATATATATATATGTAGTATATGATATATATATAGTATATTATATATGTATATTATATATATATGTTATATATATATATTTGTGTATATATATATATATATTAATATATATACCGTTTGCCGTGATATGTATATATATATATATATCATAAGTTGGGATTGTATATACTTATATTTAATAATATTATATATAGTGTATATAGTATGTATATATTGTATATATATATATAAGTGTATATGTATATAGTTGTATATTATATATTCTATATATATATATTATATATATATATATAAATTATATATATATGTATATGTATATGTATATATATGTATGTAAAACAAATCACTAATGGAGCAATGCACTGGAAAAAGATACAAAATCATCACTTGGAACAGCTCACATTTACAGCTCATTGGCAAATAGCAGTTATGTGGAGCTGCTGAAGTAGAATAGCTGAGTAAGAATGTGTCCTGTTTCATGAACGTTTCCAAAAGTTCATGGTGTATATTTAGAGCATAATCTCACAGTTTAAATAATCTTTTTGGTAATGTGTAACATTAAGTTAAATAAAAAGGCTGAAAAATGGCCTGTTATTGTAGAGAAGTGTGAGCTGAGGCTTTTTCTTTACTGGTCTGTCTGGTAAGTATTTCTTTTCACAGTTAACTTGCCATAATAGAAACAAACCTAGAATAGGTGGGAAATAAACACCGGTCCTGCTCCAGACCCAAATTCCATCTATTAAGGAAGAATCAGTAAATCTACTCAGGCTTGAATTTCACTTACGACAACTGAAGCTCTGCTGCATTCATTGAAGAGTGCTGAGAGAGACAAATCATGCAGCCAAAGCCTGCTGATTCAGTTATTGATCCAGACTTGTATCTTTAAATGTTTTACCATGAGGAAAATGGGCACATTGCTGAGGGTTTGTTGATTTATTTAATGTCCATGTACTAAAGGTAGTTTTTTTTTCTAGGGGAAGGAAAAATGGTGGTCCTTGGAGAAACTGGAAAGAGGGGGGGCACTGTATGCTATGCTGAAGACAGTAATGTCAATAACACCTGATGAGATATCCAGGAATAAGGACTTGGTGGTTGATAGTTGTCTATGGAGACCACAAAAGCATTCAAACAGCTGTCCTCTCTGTTCGGCCTAACTGATGGGAAACACAAATCACTTCCATTCATAAATGAAGAAGAAAATAGTTTCCGTCTTGTTTTGAACTTTATCAAGATAGATACATGGATACATTACAAGAAGACGAAAGCTCTGGCAGAAGGCTCACAAAGCCATCTGTTGCAACAAGTTGAGATCATATACAGTATCGCTATGTTTAAAATCGATAGCTTCCTGATAAAATAAGTTAGTTGCACTACTTCGGCTCTATGGTGACCCCTTGGGTAAGGAAGGGAGCAGCTGAAAGTACCTTCTTTTGATGACTGTCTGCAGAGATTTTGAGGCTGAATTATGTGGAATTCTATAACTAAATAAAAAATACATTAAATTCCTGCATATAGGTGACGGTTTAAATGGAAAAACATTTTTGTTTTTTCAGTCTTCCCATTAAAATAAGTGCTATTCAGTAACGATGACAGGGCGACACAGTTCACATTGCTAACACTTTTTAAGCGTTGCGTTGTTTTGTGCTGGAAAAAGCTGGATTTTAAAAATGCCCTGAAAGGCACTAAGTGAACACTTCTCCCTGCGCACCATCTTGATGGTGATGACAAATGACCCTGAGCTAATACGGAGAGCTCATTAAGGCTCCAGGGAGCTGCAGGATCAAAGTGGGGATGTGTGAGTGGGGGGGGGCAGGGCTGTAAGGTTAAGAGTCTATGTCACTTCCTTGTGAGTTGATGAAAAGTATAGAACAGGGTTGTGTCTCTGTGGACAGCTATAGGTATGCACATGTGTGTGTGTGTGTGTGTGTGTGTTTTCCCGGATGGGCATAAAGTTTCTTAGAGCCTCTTCTTGTTAAAGATGAATGGGAAGAGTGTTGGACTTCCATGTAAGTAAAGGCTTGTAAAGCCAAGGCTTACATTATTTATGTGTATTTTTCTGAGGAAAACAATGTGCTAATTATAAAAATAAAACAACTAAGGAAAAGTGATTTATAAAGAGCTAAACCCAAAAGATAAATATCTGTAATATCAGCACTGATCATTGTCTCCTTCAGAAATTCTTGAAATTAATTGTGAATCTGTGTCTCCCTTTACATTACCCAGAAAACCCTGCATGCCCTTGGAAACCAAGTGTGGGTGTGGTCTGAAAAAGAAATATGGCGACCCATCCTTTGTTTCTGAGGTCCTGCAGAACTCTGCAAACTTTTAAAATCCTGTAACAACTAATGTTCAAGCGAAGCATTCAATTTCTGAGGATATTTGTCACGGCTGCTGCTTTTCCTTGCTTCTGATTTCACCCACTGTAAAATATGGAGCCGTATAGTATCTCTTTATTTCCACAGGGAACACACATGGTTGCAATAATTCAGCATCGCTCGTCCAAACTATGGCTCTTTGCATCACATCGCATGAAAGGATTTGAATAGGCTATTGATAACGCATCTTGCGTGCTCAGCTGGAGACAATTTTGTCTAAACTGACTGCTGTGGCTTTGTGCTGTTATCAGGAAGCAGCTTTCACCACAGACTCAAATCCTTTCTTTATTTCTTATTTTTTGAGAATGCAGATGTGGGGAAACAGATATATTATCAAGTATTTTACCTGAACAACATAAACAGTTTTTCATACCCTGTTGTCTTTTAATAACTCTGGCCAAGTCATCGGTTGCTCCATGGGTGTCTTCCCCCTGCAGGCTCAACATAAGAGTACTGCTGAGTGTGTTAAAATCGAAAGCCTTTATTTTTCTCCCCCGAAACCAAAGGCTTTGTTTCATGGCTTATGTAAAATGTATGTGCCTTTAGATTAGCCTTTGCATAGTTAGATAGCGGTATATTGAAGAAATGGGACATTATTCCTTCATTACCCCTTGAAAAGCTAAACAAATCTTAAAAACCACCATTAAAAGCATGTTATTTTATAATAGCATGTTAATAAAAAAAGATTATGACTTTCACAAAGTGATACATCAGACTAATTTAAACAAACACTGTTGTCGTGTTCCTTCAATCTAATAAAAACAAGCTGCCAAACGATGCATTTTTTAAAAGCACGCTGTTTCCTGTTTTTTTCCCCGAACTGTTTCTCCACATTGGAAATTTCCTGTTATTCAGAATAAACAAACTCAATGTACAGTGAGGGGCCACATTTAATCTTTTTAACAGATGGCGACAAGATACTAAATAATATTTCCTTTCCACCTTCTCTGACAGGAGATGTCTATATCTGATGTCTGCATATCACTGACAGCGTATCCCTTTTCAAAACCAGTCCTGTAACAGTGTATCATGGACCAGAACTACTGTGGCAAAAAACAGCATTTTACACTCATTGATCAGGTTCAAGTCAGCTGTATAGACTTGATTCTGATCAATGAGTGTAAAATGTTACACTGCTGTTTTCTATCTTTGGATTGTAGGGACAATAGGTGCCAACCTCATCTGACCAGCTATAAGTAATGGTGTGGGATAGTAAAGGTGGTATGAAAGATTGTAGTGTTTTCAATAGAAAGCAGTTTAAACAGTGGGGACTTCAGTAAAACAGAAATACGCAAAAAAATAAATTAATTAAATAAATTAAAAAAAGGATTTCTGTATATCAAATGAAAGCCTGTTTTACAAACCAGAAACTATTTTAAAGTAATGCCATAAATTAAAATGTCTTCCTTTGTTGCTCGATTATAACTACTGCAGATGTTAGTAACATTTACCAGACCTGCCTGTTATAAATCTTCAGCCAACAATCTGTCTACTATAAAAATAATACTTAGAGCAATATCTCATTGCCATGTGTCATAGATCATTCATATTAATAGGGTTTCTTGTTACCGCTTCATGCATATTAGAAGATAAAGGAAAATTTGTGTGGTGAAATCACACCAGATTAGAAGGCTGGGAAAACCAAGTAAGAAGTAAGGTTAGATAAACATATTAAGACTTTGAAAAGAGTTTTAATGCCAGTATTTTTTTTTTTTTTTAATTTGACCTCAAATGAGGACTTTTAGTTGGGTAGTAGAAGGGACACTTAGAAGATCTCCTCAATTCCATTGACATGCCTTCTGTAGAGGAAACAGAGTCTAGGGACAAAAGGGATGACTAAGCCATCACTGGAGGTGAGGTCACTGAGGTAGTTTGGCGAGGCCTCTGGAGTGGATGAAATTTGTCCCGAGTTTCTCAAGGCTCTGGATGTTGTGGGGTTGTAACAGCTAACACGCATATGCAACGTTTGTGGAAGTTGGGGAGATTGTACCTGGACTGAAAAACCTCTTCAAGAAGAGGGTCTGGATGGTGTGCTTCACGTTTAGGGGGATCATACTCCTCAGCCTCCCCTGGCAAGGTCTTAGTCCATCTCTCTTGGTTGTGTCCTGTGGGTAAACGGAGTGTTAGGTTCGGTGGTCTCAGGATTGTGTCTCTTGCACTTGAGCAGTTTGTGGTTGAGCAGCAGGGATGAGACTTTCTCCTGTTCTTTCATTGTGCTTCATGAGTGCACCGATCCTTAAATCCTGTCAATAGACTTCAATTTTATTTATATATCACTAAATCACAACAACAGTTCCTCAAGATGCATTGTATTGTAAGGTGAAGACCCTAAAATAATACAAAGAAAAAAATAAAAAGAAAGGAAAGAGGCAAACAAACAAAAACCCTACAAAGAGTTTAGGATGCAGTGAGGCCAAAAATCCTTTTGTCACATTTAATTAAGCTGCAATGTTTTGTTAACTGTGAATTAACTTAGTGAACTTAGCCTTCAATGTTCTTCTTTCAGATGTTAACGAATGTGAAGTGGATGAAGGCGGCTGTGAGGGGTACTGTTGCAACACCATTGGCAGCTACTACTGCAAGTGCCCTGAAGGCAGTAGGTTGGGGCCAGATGGCAAGGCCTGCAATGGTAAGGTGGACATCTAGAAATAGCTGGCGTACAAACACTGACCTCCTGGGTTAACTTCATTGTTATTATTATAATATAATATAATATAATATAATATAATATAATATAATATAATATAATATAATATAATATAATGTGCCTGTGAATTTGTTATCATTTAGTAGTGCTACGACTCTGTTCTCTGTAATCGAGTTCATGTAACTCAGTACTAATGACTACTGAGCGTCATGTTTATGTCCCAGCTTGTGTAACCCCATAGCAAGACGGCCCCTAGCTGATTAATTATGACATCACTATAAAGCTTTTTGCACAGAAAGCCCTAAATGCGATCATCTTCTCTTCCAACATTTTATGGCAGTCCACTTTCCTGCTTCAATTTACCTTTAGTCTGAAATCATAAATGCACTGAGTAATTAGTTACAGGAACTACAATGAAGGCATTTTTGCATGGGCTTACTTTGGCTGCTTGTCTGCCTGTGGTCAAGTTTTTCCCAGCGAGATAGCATCGCAATCAAGACACAGTCACGGAAATTCTGTGCAAGTTTATTAGGGTAAAAAATAACGTTATGGTAGAGACATTAGGTGCCAATCATAACGTTATTTTTGATGCAACTTCCCATTTGAAACAGTCAAAGTTACGGCACCAAAACCGCTTGGTTAGGAAAAAATAATTATGACATTGCAGGAAAACACTGGCGTGATCCATTTTTCAGTATCTGCCCATCTTCTTCTCCTTCCTAATCCTTTCTCAATCTCTTGATTAGAAGCTTTACTGGAGTTGTTTCTTTATGCAGATGATGCACTCAGTGTTCATCTACTGTATAGGCAGACATATGCCATCATTTACATGAGCCTGTGGTACTGTGTTCCATCAGCAATAGCACAAAAAATGATCACTGTACATTTAATTTAGGCCTTTATTTTACCATTCATTGTATACTTTTTGGGCTTTTTAAACTCAGAGAGATAAAAGTTAACTTTAGAAACTTTTACATAGTGACACCTATTATTTTGACTAAAAACATTGGTGCCATCTATAAATGAACGTGAGCATTTGTTCACATTCATCCATGTGAGGTAATTCAGTGGCCTTTGTGTTTTCTCCCTAAGTATTTCTTGAATCTGCTACATTTAAATGATCTGGCCTCTGTAGACCTACACATGCATCTGTCCACACAGGCAGTGCTGATATATTATAACAAGCGTACCCTCCCAGTTCATCTGTCTTCTTTGAAAGAAATACGCTGAGTTATTTGTTCCTAAAAGCTACAGGTGTGAACAAATGCTCCTGATCTTTGACCTTTAAGACAGGATAGTGTCACTCTAACATTTTTATGCCTCACAGGTTGCTGGAGAAGTCAGGAGTGAGCAGCATTAGCAGCATTAGCAGCTGTTCATTTCTTATTTTAGGGGCTTTTGTGTGAATTTGCGTGAAAGTACAACCTGATACTTACATAGCATTTTTCACTTGCACCAAACACTCATAGACTCACACTCCAATAGATGCATCAAGGGCAACTTGGGGTTCAGTATTTCGCCTAAGGACACTTTGACATGCAGGTTGGAGGAGCCAGACCGGGGCGGGTGACCCATTCTATCTCCTGAACCACAGTTGCCCCATTTGTTCACTACATGTGGTTAAATTACTGGCAGAAAAGAGTGTTTTTGACTTTAACATGTGGCAGAAAAGAAAGTGACGTTACTATTTTTAGAGTTTTATCTGACCAAAACTGAAGCACCCTGAAGATTTTGGTGAGAGAACTTGCTTTGAGTTTTTGGTTCTCACTAAAATGGGCTCTTTTAACATTCAGACTACCTTTTTTTAAAAAAAGAAAAAAATTCTACCTCATTTGTGCCACTAAAGCAGTTCAGCAGCATGTTAGTAGGGCTGCTGTTTCACCTAATTGTATGTGTTAGCTCAACAATTCTGCTGTCACATGATATGACCTCCTGACCTGTGACACCTCCAGCCCTGCATGCACCTCACTGTGTGTCTCACGCTGAAATGATCTCAACTGGGGAAACCAATAAGCAACCTTGACAAACTTTTTTCTGTTTAGCTGTTTTGGATGTTAAGCATCATTCACAATACCAGTCATACAAAAGAGCCTTGTTTCAGTGGCACACACCTTACGAGTGCAATGTGCAGTAAATATTTCTAACATCCATGTATATGTTCAAAGAATGGGGCAAACCATTAGGAATTTCTTTAGGCGACTATAGTCTTGCAATCACTTTGGAGAGGATTGCCCACATGGGTTTGCCAGATATTTAAATGTGTAGAAAGCAAAACACAAACACAAATAAATGCACACATAAACTACATGAAAGTGATTTAGTACATTTGTAGTACTTAGGAAATTCTCTGACCTCAGAGAAACCAGAATTATGGTTGTGTTGTGCTTGCTCAAATAAACTGAACCACATGTTCCTGGGAAAAATACAAAAAGAAAACTTTATTTGGGCAGTCATTGCACACACAGGCCTAACAAAGGAAGTAGTGTAATCTCAAAAAGTCAGAGATGACAAGCAGGAAGAGTTTTGGAGGATCTTATGAGCACCGTCCCCAATACGTATACGTGAGTTGAGGTTTCAGGTTTTTGGCTTCACGGCTTCCTTCTCTCTGACACACACTATAGGAAAAACAGTGAACAAATGAATCGTGTGCAAAGAGCATGATAAACCACTCATCACTCACACCAAAGAAAGTGTAGTTGTAAAAGTCTTGATGATATTCACCGTTTCATCGTTTTGTTCACAGGAGACATAATATGCAGTTAGCTCTTAGTGTTTTTCTTCACTAGTAAAACTAAAGGAGCTGATGGGGGAATAAGCTGAACAGCACACTTAATAATTAACATTTTAAAGCATGAGAAATTGGAGCTTAAAATTGGTTAAAATTACACAATTACACCTCTTTATTCCACAATCCCGTAAAATTGCGTTATTCATTTTCTGTTATTTGGCGTGCGTCAAACGAAATGTTTAATTAGACCACCTCAAAGCTGGGTGGGACTTTTTTTTAAAATTAAGGATGTAATAAATTCCTTGTTTCTAAAAAGCTCATTTTAATCCTTCATTAAATTGAACGCTGTTCTCTCACAACTGACCACAGTTACAGGTGTCTCATTCCTGAGCAAAGCGAAAACTTTTAATCAAGAAGCAGAGAAACTGTTCCATATTCATCACTGTGATGGCTGCAAATTTCATATTTGAATCAGTCAGAAGCAAGGTGTGGTGCACGCAGGGGCGGATCCGGAGAAATTTTCTTAGGGTGGCATGAAGGTGGCAAAGAAATCAAATGGGGTGGCAAAATCAAAGCCTCCCCCCCACCCAAACACATATGCACAAAACAAAACGACTACACAACAGAACAGCTACACAAGACAACACAATACACTAAGTATATGAATATGTATACACTCCACACTAACCATCACAAATCTCCCACATCTAAAAACTCTCTCTCACACACACACTTGCTCGCTCTGTCTCGCTGCTGTTACAGTCACTCCCAAAACTTTTCCCTCTTCCTAAACAACCAAATTCCATATGTTGACTTTTTTTTTAATTGGTCGACATGGTGCATTTGTCCACCGATAGGAAAGCGGTGGCTTTTTCCCCTTTCTTTACTGTTTTCGCGCTGTCCTTAGAAAACGCTTAAAACACACACACACACACAAAAACCTGACGACAGTATTTAGGAAAAAAGCGTGGCTTATATATATTATCATAACTCTGGATTTACTGGCCTGTAATTAAAATGTAAAAACTTTGAAGTCTGAACTTTCAGTGTGGGTTGAAATTGAAACTCAGCGTGGCTGCAGCTTGTTGCTATGTCACCTTAAAATAGTCATGTGATTTGGAGGTGCAGCGTGTTGGTGGACCACAGAGGGTTCATAACACTCACCTTTCTTCCATTTCCAGAGTGTAACATCCAAACACCTGTGTAAAATCCGAAATTCCCATGTTGTTGTTCAAAATGTGCTCTGGCACAATCATAAGCATGGCTTGCTACTGAAAGCAAGAAAAAAGCCGGTCCTGCTATGGGCTGAACCATTTGTTAATGTTACAGGGGGGGAACACTGTCCAATACATTCAGTTTTAGCATTTATATTCACTGTTGACTGTAACTACACTCAAACTGTTAATGCTATCTTATTTTAATAAACAACACTGTCATATGCAAAACTGGGGTGGCACTTGGGGTGGCAAGGGATCATTTTAGGGTGGCACTTGCCACCCCATGCCACCCTTCTAGATCCGCCCCTGGGTGCATGAATACATATAAATATATATCTGTATGAGGTATGCATGCATTGCATATCTGTGTGTTCAGATGTAGATGAATGTGAGGAGCTCAATGGAGGATGCCAGCAGACATGTGTCAACACACCGGGCTCCCATCACTGTGAGTGCAGTGAAGGCTTCCGCATGCACTCAGATGGTCGAACTTGTATCGGTAAGTACTAAAGAAAATGATTTACAGCACTTGTGGAAACTGTTTTCTATCTACTCCTCCCCACACCGTATTTTTCCCACATTAATAATTCAGGATTTTTTGCAATCATTCTCTTTGTAATAAAACAGATAAAATACAGTTTTTTAAAAAATGGTTTGAATTTATTGCACTTTTGAAGGATAGCCTGACATTCTGAGAATTTGCTTGTGAGCTTTCTTTCCAAGCTTTTGATGGGAATATTAATGTCAATCTCACCATATTTATTTTATGAAACTTAAGCAACAGATCATCTGGCGATCAGAGCCCTTTACTACACGTTCATGACATTAGAAAGGTTATGCCATACAAATACTTAGGATACACACTGATAATGCACTTACTCGGAACATGGATGTAGAAAGTGTGTATACGAGAATCCATCAGCATCATTGTCTCTGATGTTTTTAGTGTTTATGGCAATATTTTGTCATTTATGTTTTTTGTTGTTGCCATGATTTGTGCCATGATCTTATCTTACCAAGAGTGCAAACTGGAGGCATAACTGACATGTATACTTTCACAACTGCTCGTTAACACAAATCTGTAATAAGTCAGTAAACAACTCAGTGCTTTTAAACATGCAGACATGGTCAAGATGATCTGCTGAAGTTCAAACTGAGCATTACAATAGGAGAAGAAAGGTTGTTGGTGCCAGACGAGCCAGTCTAAGCATTTCAGAAACTGCTGAGCTGCTGGGATTTTCCCACACAACAATTTCTATTGTTTACAGAGAACAGTTCAACAAAAAGAAAATATCCAGTGAGCGGCAGCTTGCTGGGCAAAAATGCTTTCTTAATGTCAGAGGTCAGATGAACATGGTAAGACTGTGTCAAGCTAACAGGAAGACATTAATAACTCAGATAACCAGTCATTACAGCCACGGTATGCAGAAGAGCATCTCAAGATATGAAAACTTGGACTACAGCAGCTGAGGATGACAGTGGGTGCCATTCCTGTTAGCTAAGAGCAGGAACCTGAAGCTACAGCTCACAATAGATGTCTGAAAAAATGTTGCCTGCTTAATGAGTCTAGATTTGTGTTGCAACATTCAGACGGTAGGGTTCAGACTGCGGGTGTTGGCATAATGGTGTGGGGAATAGTTTCTTAGCACAACGCGAAATCGTAATCCCAAAGTGGGCGATATCATGGATGTGGAGCAAATGTGTGACGCTGTAACATGAACCAAACTCTCTGTGGAATGTTTTCACCACCTCGATAAATCTGTGCCACAAAAAATTAAGGGTGTTCTGAAGCCAGGATTAGCAAGGTCTACATAATGAAGTGGCCAGTGAGTGTTCAGTCCAATGAAAACCAGACTTCATTGGTAGCAGTCACTGAACACAGTTAATGCCAGAACTAATTTCTTCACTTTGGGTTTTGTACAAATGTAACAAACAGACGTAGTGAAAAAAACAGAATGAAAGCGTAGAAGCTAGAGCTTCATTGAATAATCCTTGTGAGAAATTCAGACACAATTTAAAAGGAGAAATGCAAGGCGGTAAAGTACTTTTACCCTTTTAGGACCATAAAATTTGTCATTTAATGAAACAATTTGTTACTTGGAGAAAATCAGTACATCTCTGTTTCTATGTATGTCCCCAAATGCTCTCAGTTTCCAGCTGCAGCTTTGTGTTAAAGGATAGGTGCGGATGCAGAGGGATGGCTAATTGTGTCTGTGGAAGTCATCAGTGTTAAAAGCCTGCCGTTCATTCAGTTTTACAGCCTGTGTCATCATGTCTGTGTTTAGAGCACCCAGAAGGCACACGGCTAATATTCATATTTGGCACGTCATTAAGTTGCAGGAATGATAGGATGGAAAGATCATTAGAAAATAAACTAGAGGTAGTCATTGGACCAACAGGCCTATTGAAGACCTTTTTTTTTTCCAGTTTCCTGCATTTACCCGAGTGTTTTCCACAATTATACAGCTGTGCAACTTGAGCTGTGAAAGGTATTTTGAATTGCCAGAAAATTCAGTTATATTTATCATCCTTTCTAAGTTACTGAAAACTTAGTGCGACTTTCAGCCCCATTAAATCTGCACTTGAGCACCTGAGCGGATGGGCTTTATGATTTTTTTTTTTTTACTGAGCACTCGTCTATCTTCTTTGCTCTTAAGCTGTGAATTCCTGCTCTGTCTTGAATGGTGGATGTGAACACAAGTGTGTGGACACGGGGGACAATCACTACAAATGTGAGTGTCGGAAGAACTACCAGCTGAAGAGGGATGGGAGACACTGTAAATGTAAGTCAGCCTAACTTTTGGTGCAGAAACATCTGTTAAAGTGGCAGAGCTGTGCCTTACACAGCTCAAAATCTGAATAGTCTTCATGGATTTTCTAATGCACTGATTAATTTTACTAGCAATCTTGTTGTGACAGAAAATATATTAATGTGCATGATTCAGATGTCAAGAATACAAATTGTCCTCATCAAACTGTCCTGACCTGGCTTCATTCTGCAAATATATGTATGTGTATGTTTCTCCTCGTGTTAGTGAGAGACCCCTGTGAGGAGAGGAATGGAGGCTGCAGCCAGATGTGTACTTCAGAAGAAGGCCAAGTTCACTGCAGCTGCCGACCTGGTTTTGCACTGGCTGGAGATGCCAAGAACTGTGAAGGTGACAAAGCCCTCTCTCTCACTCACATAGCTATAACTCAGATAAGACCTCTGATTTCCTGTATGTGAGAAAGAAAGTTTTCTATGCAGTCCTGTGAGAAACTAACTACACCATTACTGCTTCCCTATAACTAAGAGGGCAAGTAGCAACGAGGCGCTACTAATCAAATGCACTTAATTATTAGATCATTGGCAGGTGTGAGCAGGTCTAAGCATTCAGGTGTGTGTTATACAATACCATTATCTTACCAGCAAACTCACCCTTTTAGGCTTAAAGAAACTACAAAAAACCTCTCAGACTCTGCAACCTCAGTTAGCATGCTGGATGTTAAAGTTCCTGATTGTTCAGTTACAAAAAGAATGAAAAAGTATGACTTGTCTATAAAAACAACATGGCAGCATGGCACAGAACAAACTGCAAGGCTTCTGGAGCATGCCCTTTGGACAGATAAGACCATAAAACACAAACACAGGATATCATCACAAAGACCTCATTCCAACTGTCAAGCATGATGGTGGAGGTGTAGCGATTCATGCCTTGCAGTCATTGAGTTGACCATGAACTCAACTGTGTACCAAAGCATTCCATATGGAAAAGATATATATAAATATTATAAAGTTTGTATCTGTCTTGTGTGAAACTTCTATGAAAAGCATACAAAAGTGAAAAAAGATATTAGATCCCTTGAAAAATTATATAAATGAAACTTGTATGTTTTGGATACTTACTAAAACAATATATGAAAGTAATGAGAAAGTGGCCACTTTCATGAGTAAATCATGTAAGCCTTATATGATTCACTATATGAAGTAGGCCACATCTTATGCAAGTCTTTTATAAGTTTTTACTATTTCTTTTCCCTATGGGATTGCAGAGTCAAGCATGGCTGAAATTGAGCCATGAAACAGGACAATGAGTCCAGGCACAGCAGCAAAACTATAACAGAATGACATGAAATGAAAAAGAAAATAATCAAGGTCCTGCAGTGGCTCAGTCAATGCCCAGATCTCAACCTAAATGAAATTTTGTGATGGGACCTTAAGAGAACTGTGCATAAATCAATGCCTACAGACCTCAATTAAATGAAACAGCATTCAAAGTAGGCCAGATTCCCTCTGCTACATTGTGAGAAACTCATATGGAAAGTAGTTACTTAATGTTATAGCTAATTGTGGTTCTGCAAGATGTTGAGAGCTGTAATTAACTTTCCACAGGACTGTGCACATCTACTTGTTTTAGGAACTCTGGATTTGGTTGGAGACTTAGCTGCTACTCGTCCAAGAAAGTCAGGTTCCAGGATACAAGTTTCATGAACACTGAAATCCTGTTTACCTCCGCTGTTTCTTAATATGATGCTGAATAATATTCTGCAGTTTTGCAATACAGTAGATAAATCTTTGACACAATCAGTGGACTTTTCTCATGCTCATGTGTTTCTGCCTACATGTCTTGGTGTATCTGTTGACATTTGTCATACCAGGATCTAAAGTTTGTTAATATTTGCCTCTTATAGACATTGATGAGTGCAGCTCTGGCCATGCCAAGTGTTCCCATGGTTGTGTCAACATGTTGGGTTCCTTTAGCTGTGTGTGTCATCCGGGTTTTGAACTCGGTGCTGATGCTAAACAATGCTACCGTAAGTAAGAACTTCAGCCTACCTTCCACAAACTGTAAAGACTGCTGAGTGCTTTTTATTATGCAAATAAGAGAACAACTTACATCATTTCAGAATGACTTTGTTGAAAATGTTCTGATTCAAATGTGCCTTAGTTTTTTTATTTTTAACCCCAAAGGGATTTTCTGACTGTAATGGGAATTTAACTAGTAACCTTTCCTTTGCTAAATAAATATGAATACCACTACACACTATAGCGCAGGCTGGTGCAGCTTGCACATTCTAAAATCATTTTCTTTTTTTTCTGCTAACAACAGAACAAAACGCAAATACCAGGTTACTTGTAAACTGCTCTTTAATTTGAATGACAAAACTTTGCTTGTAAATATTTCAGTGTAGCACACAGGACTGACATGCGTGATATGCCTCAAAATTCAACCGAGTCCTAAGTTATATCCTTTTTAAATCCATCATACTCTCATTAGGTATTTATGTTGAGCATATAAAATGCAAAATTAAATGTGATTTACAGAGTCACTATTACCCAAAAATGCCCCGTGTCATTGACCCTATATTTCATCTGTGGTTGTGTACTGTTGTTGTGGTTTGATCCTTTCATCTCCAGGCATTGAGATGGAGATTGTAAACAGCTG